CTACGGCAGAAATGGCAGCGGTGTCCTCAAAGACCGACACAGCAGCAGAAGCGCGGGTAGCAGTGAAAGTGGGAAGCTGAGGGGCGGCACACCCCGCAAAGGGGGGCCACCGCATCAGTGGCGGAGGCAACGGTGAGGAGGCTGTTCTCGATGGTCCCGAGAGCAGTCTGAAGGAGGTCTATAGTGAGTTTAGTGGGGTGCTTCTGAAGAAGCGCGTCGCGGGCAGTGGCAAGGCGATCAGAGAGGCGGGTGACTAACCAGTGCATAGTGAGCCACATGGGGGGGGGAGCAACAAGGAGTTGTGCATCGGTACAGGCCGAACGAAAACCGGCGTCAAGCAAACGGAGGTGAGTCAGTATGTCGGAAACAGTCGCAAACGAGCCTAGGTCGGGAAACACGAACGGCATGAGGAGGCGACTGAGGGAGGCAGAGGAGGGGGTGGAATAGCGAGCCACAATAGCATCCCAAACCCCCTTGGCTGTCTCCACTTGGTCAAAGTGAGCGGCCTCAGTCGGGGGGAGAAGCTCCAATAGCATGAAGGCGGCGGCCGCGTCACGAGAGAGCCACACGTCCCGAGCCAGGACCCGACGGTCGTAGTCTGCCTGGGCCGTAGGAGTCGGCTCCGGGGCGGTCGGCAGGGCGGCGGGGGACGGGGGTGCCGCGAGAGCACCCGACGCGTGGGCCCATAGAGTAGCGCCGTCCTGACGCTGGCTGGTGAGGAAACGTGTGGTCTGGCGCTGCCAGGTACCGAACTCGATCGGGCGTCCCTCAGCATCGAAACGGAGGCGAGGGGCCTCCATAGCGGAGCCCATGCTAGAGGCAACTGGAGCACGGCGGAGGCAGAGCTAAGAACGAGGAGGAAAACTACGGAGGGCTAGGGACGCCAGCGGGGAAACCGACGAGAGACAATCGGCGAGAAAATAGTCGTGGGGCGGGGCTCTAACCGAACCTAGGTGGCGCTACCGGAGGGAAGAGCGGCTGCCAGGAGCTGAGTCGGGAGCCAAGTGCAGTAGGAATGGCGTAGGACCGGTGCACGGGTGAAGGGGAGAGAGATGCAGTAAGCGCACAGAGTGATGCGGTAAGTGTACGCAGGTGTGCGGTAAGCGCACGCAGGTGTGCGGTAGGTGCACGCAGGTGTGCGGTGAATGCACGCAGGTGTGCGGGAAGCGCACGCAGGTGTGCGGGAAGCGCACACAGAGTGGTGTGGTAAGTGCACGCAGGTGTGCGGTAAGCGCACGCAGGTGTGCGGTAGGTGCACGCAGGTGTGGGGTAAGCGCACGCTGGTGTGCGGGAAGCACACGGAGGCGTGCGGGAAGCGTTGACGGAAGAGGGCGCGCGACAGATCTAAGGAGGGCGCGCGACGGTTGAGGAGGGCGCGCGACGGTGGGGGGGAGGGCGCGGGGCGGTCTAAGGAGGGCGCACGACGATTTTGGAGGGCGCGCAACAGTGGGGGAGGGCGCGCGGAGGTCTAAGGAGGGTGCACGACAGGCTGGACAGCGCGGGAGGGCGCGGGCTAGGCGCGAGGAGGGCGCGGAGGGCGCGAGAGCACGGAGGGCGCGTAGGGCGCGGAGGCTTGCTAAAAACGAATGAGGATCTAACCTACTCGTGATACCATCTTAGAATAGGAATGCAACGAAATGGTCGAAACTAGAAAGTGTGAGAGAACAAATATGCAACCCTAACAACTGTACTCCCTATTGTGCTACTCACTGTAGCCTACAGGCATAGAATTACATTTGTCAGACTCGCCCTGCACTGAGCCAATCATCGAGCCCGAAAAGATTACGAGCCATCGGATTCGACAACCTACGGGAATCAGGAGTATCGAGTTTCTCGTTCGCTGGAAGGATCGCACGCCAACTGAGGATAGCCGGATGTCCCTGGCCAACATTGAAAACCACCCTGCCTTGCAAGTATACCTCATGAGTCGGGGTTTCCGCGGTATACACGCACTCGCGTAGCGGAGGGGGCTTCTTGAAGGGTGGGGGGGGGGGGGGGGGGGGGGGGGGGGGGGGGGGGGGGGGGGGGGGGGGGAATAGTGTAAGGAATTTTCTCGACATTCCTTACCGCGACCTACAACATCGCATACGGCAGCAGCCATTGTTCGCCCGTTACTACTAACGTGGCTTCGCCAACTTTGCGCGCACTGTTTCACCTAATCATGCACCGCTGGCCCGGCCGTGTCGGTCTACGCTTCGGGACTAGCCCGAGCCTCGATGCCAGGCTAGCACTAGCTAGCTCGCATGCACCGCGTTACCGTTTGGATGTTTCGTGCATAAATGTTCGCTCATGCCTTTGCTCACATTTTGGACTCGTTTCACACCTTAGTGCAATCCTCGCTACTTCGATTCATTGCACCCGTAACAATACGCGATATTACACCTTGGATCTTGCTGGGTGGCTCACCAGGTCGCTGTAATCACACCACAATCAGTTCACATGGTGTCGACGTATTCGTGCGGTGGAAAGTGCACTTTCGAGTCGAAATCTGGTTGGCCGTTGATATTCTGTTATGCCACCACGCATGTGTCACACAACTCGCAAAATGATTCAGTCACGCGTCTGACTCAGCAGACAGACAGCCTCTCTGTCGTGCGTGCTAATGAGCGTCATCCTTTTTTCGAATCGCCCGGTTTCATGCCTCCTGTATGCCACGCCATGGCACTCCGCTGGCCTCTCCCATTCCCAAGCCCCACTGGGTTTATCCGCTCCGCAACCCTTTTGTGTGCCTATGTGGAGTACGAAGATCTTCCCTCAAACGAAACAGGGTGATCCATTGGACGAAGATAACGACGTGGCGCTATCTCCTGTCAGCAATAAATCCAACTTTCACATCAGTTTGCAGAGACAGCTCGCGTGGTGGTCAATTGGCTTCTGGCAGCCAGCCCAGCAGCTTGCCCGCTCTGGGGTAACTGGCACTCGACCGTTGATGTCAAGTCCCCTCGGGACAACCACTTCGCTACACCATGGAAAGAATGTAAAACCCCTCGTCCACCCAATGAGGTGTGACCTTAGGACGTGGGCCCAATCGACTTTGATAGTCTCTGATCGGATCGGTTTGTGTCGGATCGGATTGCTTGTGATCGTTTTTCTCGCGCCGCCCGATCAGAGATGATTTTCCTCGAATGTTTTTCGCTCTTGCATGAAAACTGTCGGCCCATTACCTGGTAGTTGCATCCCAACTTTGGCGATATGGACGAATGTTAGTATCGTGGTAATGTCGCCAACATGATCACCCAACGCACAGTTCTCGCCGATCTGGGTGAATTCGCAAGGATTTTCGAGACCTTATGGCGAGGTGTGTTACATTTCGCGTGCGTCGCCCAGGTCGCCGATCACATGCAATCAAGTGATTGGGGCTGATTGTGTCTGATCCGGTCTGATCGGGCGGTTTAGAAGCGGTTGATTGATTTGGCGCGATCAGCTGATCGCGATCAGCTGATTGCCCGTGATTGCCTGAAATCTGCAACCGCCTCTGATCGCGCCGATCAAAGTCGATTGGGCCCACATCCTTAGGGTCTACTTCCTCCTTCCCTCAACCTTAGCTGGCTGGCTTGGTGGAAAAGGAATTGTTGGGAAGGGAGTGTCAACGGGTGTGTTATTTCCTAACGCCTCTTTACTACTAGCAGGGTGGTTTGGCGCAGATCTTTAAGGTCTGGAAGTATGTATGATATTGGTCTGGTACACGGAATTTTCCTGGTAGCGTGGGCCATCAGCAGAATGCCCTTACCAGAGAGTCCAAGGCAGAAAAAACTAGTTCTTATTGGGGTCGTTGAGTTTGGTTCGGTCTCCTCGCAGCAGCCCCCATGGCTCCCTGAGCATCATTTGCGCGACAATACCGATGTTATCCAATCCACCCACCCACCAAACTGGCAACCCCTGCCAGCAGCAACACATTTCGCGCCCTTTTCAGCCTCCAACAAAGCACGGACTGTGACTCTGCTCCTGAGATAGCCATTTTGCTGCTCCTCTGCTACTGCTGCTGCACTGCCACTGATTCTGGTTGAAGCTAAGATAGTTGAAACTGATCATCTGGTTGAAGCTAAGGGAGATTACTGGAAGTGGTTAAGCGAACTGGTTGGCAGTTGAGTGAAGCTTAGTTCCGAGTGCGAGAAAACCAGCGTGTGCAAGGCGCAGCAGATAGTTACTACGCCATTTCTGTGAAGTCTTGTACTGAAACGAGGTATGCCTACTTTTCCTCTTATATCTGCTGCTCTTCCTGCTGAGTTTTGTGAGAACCATAAGTGAAACGTAAAGCAGCCGTCGTCGACATTAACCAATGCGTCACCGCTTGGAGAAGCATACACACCTACCAAGTCGAACGACATATTGTTCTCCTTTCTTTCTTACGTTTTTTTTTCTCGTACAGACTTGAATCATTTGTTGGTTTTTGCACACATTCGTTCCCGTTGTTTCCAGCTGTGCTTCTTCACTCCCATCTCGCTCTCTCATGCAACCTTAGAATCACTCCGACTAGACTTTGCTACAGTTGCTTAGCAAAAGCCGCAGAAATGTATTTGGCGTTGTGTGAATGGCGTGTTTGGAATCGCCGCATTCGTCATTTGACACGTCATTCGTTTTCATGTTACTTGTCAGTACATTATTCCCACCGTTTTTTTTTGTTGTTGGTTTTTTTTTTTTTTTTTTTTTTTTTTTTTTTTTTCTTTTCTTTCGCCTTGCCAGCAGGTGACTCAAGCATCGATATTTATCTCTCGACCATCTCTCAAGCACCTCTCTTCGTTTCTGTAACCACACCACCATCACCCTTTTTCCGCCAGTAGAAGCCTACAGGGTGCCGACTAAACAGAGTGTAGCGACTGCACCATCCAAGAGTCTCGCAGCTAGTTCCCATCAAGTAGCAACCTTTAAGCTAGTTACTGTCAGCTAGTTTGCGTCAGATCGTTATCGTCAACGACCGAAGCAGTGTACTCGCTATAATTGACTCAGTGTAGGCCGAAAACTAATTCAACATGGCAGAGCCAGCTATGAGTTCTGCGACAATGTCGACCGCTGATACTAGCTCCCCCACCAACAGCACCCGCACCATGTCCACCGTAACCTCCGCCGCACCGTCCGCCGCTCCGTCCGGGCCACCCGTTTCCATGAGCTCGTCGAGCGTCACGGGCACCAAGGCTCTAGCGAAGCGCGCCATCCGCGTGGCGCAGGCCGTGGCCGACGCGCGGCTCGACAGCGCGTACGAAGACGCGTCGGAAGGATTCGACTATCACGACTCGGTGGAGGCCAGCAAGGGCATCACGCAGACGGACGGCGGACAAAGCGGTGCGCAAGGCGGCGGGAAACCCGGCGGCGCGCCGGTCGCGTCGTACCTGCAGCGCATGCAGCGCGGAGGGCTGATCCAAGCGTTCGGATGCCTCGTTGTGGTGGAAGAAGCGACGTTTAACGTGCTTGCTTTTAGCGAGAACGCTAAGGACCTGCTGGGGCTAATCCCGAAGCCCAAGACGGAGGAAGAGCTGGAGGTGGAGAAGAAGGCCGCCGAGGAGGAGGAGCGGAAGAAGGCGGAAGAGGCGGCGAAGGCGGAAGCGGCGACGGCGTCCCCAAGCAAGACGCCTTCCGGAAAGTCGGGCATTGGTGAGTAACGTCTGGGCGGGTTTTGGAGTGCGGGAGGAGTTCAGCGCGTGTTGGGAACCTCTCAGGGGGTTTCAGTCGGGCATTGCGCAGAATAGCTCGCGGGAGGAGTTTAACAAGTGGGAGGAACCGGTTAGGCTAAAACTCAATCGAGACGTTTGATAAATCCTATGAGACGTCTCAAAACTCTTTACGTGTCCGAATAACTGGTGAGATGAACTTGTGTAGGAGGAACGATTTGTTCCGCCAGTCCGGCATTGGCAAGCCGGGCGCTTTGCGATCCATGGAGCGTAGTGCTCTCTCCCACTCTCCCCCTCGCCATCTCCCTTCGAATCCGTCTCCGCCTCTCTGCTTGTCTACCTTCTCCCTCCCCCCCAACCCCTTTGTCTCTCGTCTTTCGCTTCTCGCTCCTCGTTTCCCGCGTCCCTTCTCCCCCTCTCCTTGTTTGCTTTAACTCATTCACATTTTCCCTCCCTCACCGTTTCGCCTTGTCTCCTTCTCTCCCTCCCTCCTCGTTTCGTCCTCTCTCCCCGTCTCCCTCTCCCCCTTTCTTCCTACCTATTCCTTTATCGCTCTTCTTAACCCCCTCCCTCTCACCCGCCCAGGCCGCGCCTTCTCGTCCCTCAAGGATAAGATCTCCTCCGCGATTCGCGGGCACAACGTGGCAAGCTCTAAGCACTCCAAGGAACGCGGGCGTAGCACCGCGACTTCCGGGACCTCGGGCGGGCGCGTGGGTTCCCCCGCGCGCTCGCAGTCCCCCTCGCGCTCGTGGCGCAGCGGGTTCCGCGCAAGCCGCCGCGCGGAGGACTGGGAGGGCGCGCACTCGAACCTGAGCAAGGCGGGGGACGCGGAATCCGCTCCGCCGGCTCCGCCGCCGCTTCCGCCGCTCCCCGTGCTCGGTAAGCCAATGTCGTGACTTCCAAGGGGCGGGAAGAGCATTGGGGGGAGCATTAGGGGGGAGCATGGGGGGGAGCATGGGGGGGAGCATTGGGGGGAGCATTGGGGGGAAGCATTGGGGGGAGCATTAGGGGGAGCATCCATGTCCATGCATACACACACGCATGACGTCATCACACATCATGCTGTACGCGCTTGAGAATTGATGCAGAAAACAAAGCACTAGCACTAATCAGATTAGGAATATTTACAGCCATGCATGCATGCACGCATGCCATCAAATATCGTCATGCGTGGGTGTGTCATAACCATGCAAACACATGCGTGCTTAGAGTCGACTCAGCATACAGCACACATGGTCGTCGTACGGCGTATGTGCCAAGGCATACTCGCGCACATGGCTTTCTTTCCAGGCGCCTCAAAGGTCATGCGCGCTATACCTGTCTTCCCATCCCACTCTCAAACCCCCCTATCACATCAAAGGTCATGCGCGCATCCCATGGTCCCCATCTCCTCCCGTCCACCCTACCCACAACCCCCCTACCAACAATTTCGCGCCCGTTTTCCTCCCGAATAACCTCCATATTGTTCCCTGCACTCTTGAGACAGCATTTGCCGTTTGATCCCCCTTCACGCATAAAACTCCTGACATTGGACTGCGAGGTTCAGCCTTCCATCCTCACTCCCCCATCCATCCACCCCCCTCTTCTCCTCCCCCTCCCGTTCCAGATTTCGGGGTGGATGCGCGCTCCCTCTTCACTCCTGACAGTGTCACCGCCCTAGAAAAAGCCACAGGCGCGGCGGATCTGAGCATGATCAACCCGGTGTTGGTCGAAGCAGCTGTCTCCAACCGAGGCGACCATCGCCCCTTCTATGCCATCCTGCACCGCATCGACGTGGGCATCGTCATCGACCTCGAACCCATCCGCGACGCCGAAAACATCTTCACCGGCGCGGGGGCCCTCCAGGCGCACAAGCTCGCCGCCAAGGCCATCGCTAGGCTCCAACGCATGCCGCCCGGCGACATGATCAATCTCTGCCAGGCCGTCGTGGAAGAGGTGAAGGAGCTGACTGGGTATGACCGAGTGATGACTTATAAATTCCATGAGGATGAGCATGGAGAGGTGCTGGCCGAAGCCAAGAAAGAATCCATGGAGCCTTACCTCGGTCTCCACTACCCCGCGACCGACATTCCCCAGGCCATCCGTTTCCTGTTCATGAAGAACCGGGTTCGCTGCATCTGCGACGCATACTCTGATGAAGTGAAGGTGGTGAGGGATGAAGGGAGGCTCAAGCAGCCGGTGACGCTGGCGGGGTCGCAGCTGCGGGCGGCGCAGCGCTGCCACATCCAGTACATGCGCAACATGGGCACCACAGCCTCCATGACCATGGCGGTGATTATCAACGACGAGGACGCCGCACAGCCGCCTCAGCCGCAGGGTGCGGCGGGTGCTGGCGGCGCTGCTCCCGCGCAGGCGAATCGCGGGAAGAAGCTGTGGGGGCTGGTGGTGTGCCATCATGAAACTGCCCGGTACCTCCCGTTCCCGCTGCGCCTGGCGTGCGAGTTTCTCATGCAAGTGTTCTCGCTCCAGGTGAACATGGAGCTTGAGATGGCCCGGCAGCACCGCGAGAAGGAGATGCTCCGCACGCAGACTCTCCTCTGCGATCTCCTCATGCGTGGGGATGCTCCCCTCGGGATTGTCTCACAGAACCCGAATATTCAGGACTTAGTTAAGTGCGACGGCGCTGCGCTGTACTACGCCGGGCGGTTCTGGCTGCTGGGAACGACTCCCACTGAGATGCAGATCTTGGATATTATTGACTGGCTGGATACTGCGCACCCGGATTCGTCCGGTCTGAGCACTGACAGCCTGGCAGAGGCGGGGTATCCGCGAGCAGAGGAGCTAGGGGAAGGGGTGTGCGGGATGGCGTGTGCACGGCTGTACGCGAGGGATGTCTTGCTGTGGTTCCGGTCGCACGTGCGCAAGGAGGTGCGGTGGGGCGGGGAGAAGCACGATAATAGAGACAAGGAGGACGAGCATCCGGAGCGCATGGCCATGGGGCCAAGGGCGAGCTTTGCGGCGTTCCTGGAGGTGGTGAGGCAGCGGTCGATGCCGTGGGAGGACGTGGAGATGGACGCCGTGCACTCGCTGCAGCTCATTCTGAGAGGCCATCTGACGTCCTTCAGCGATAATGACATGCGCGACATGATGCTCAACCGCATGCGCGACCAGGTGGGTTTCTAGCAGTGGGTTTCTGGGTTTCTGGTTGGGGATTCTGGGCTTCTAGCAGTGAGTTTCTGGGCTTCTAGCAGTGAGTTTCTGGGCTTCAGGCAGTGAGTTTCTGGGCTTCAGGCAGTGAGTTTCTGGGCTTCAGGCGGTGCATTTTGGGCAGTGGGTGTGTGGGGTTGGGTGGGTGTGAGGAGGGGCGTTCCAGGAGGTGGTGAGGCAGCGGTCGATGCTGTGGGAAGACGTGGAGATGGACGCCGTGCACTCGCTGCAGCTCATTCTTAGGGGGCATCTCACGAGCTTCAGTGACAATGACTTGCGCTACATGATGCTCAACCGCATGCGCGACCAGGTGAGGGTTTGGGCGGAAGGAGAGGGGTGGAGGGGGGTTGTGTGCGGTTATAGGACCCACCTCACGTCCTTCAGCGACAATGATGCATGTGACATGATTCTCCTCTGGATGCGCGGCCAGGTGATGGGTGGAGAGGGGTCGAGGGCGGTGCAATTGCTGGAGACAGCAACAGCGCCCATCCTGGCCGTGGACAGGGACGGGTGTGTCACCGGGTGGAACGCCAGGCTCTGACCCCCCTGCCTCCCCATCTCCCTTTTCCACCCCTCTCTCCCCCTTTCTAAACACCAGGAAATGGATCGCCTGAGCGCCACTGAGAGCGAGATGGTGCGAGTGCTCGAGACGGCTACAGCGCCCATCCTGGCCGTGGACAGGGACGGGTGCGTCACCGGGTGGAACGCCAGGCTGGCGGCTCTGACAGGGCTGGCCACAGGGGACGCCCTGGGGAAGCACCTGATCACGGACCTGGTGGTGGAGGGCAATGTGGACGCTGTTGGAAGGGCGCTCTTCCTCGCTCTGCAAGGTATGTTGGTACATGGATGCTCTCTTCTTGGCATATTTGCTCACACGGCTAGCCCTCGCGCTGTGGATCACGGACCTGGTGGAGGGCAACGTGGACGATGTTGGCAGCGCGCTGTTCCTCGCTCTGCAAGGTATGTTGGTGTGTGGGTGCCCTCAAGTTCTCTCTGCAATTGTGGTGAGTGTGCCACATACCCTTGGGGTATAGGAAGCGAGCACACCTGATCATGGACCTGGTGGTGGTTGGGAGGGCGCTGTTCCTCGCCCTGCAAGGTGGGTCATTAGTAGTGCGCTAGCTACCTGTGCTGTATGCTGCGTGGGCTGTGTGGGCTGTGTGCTCCGTGTGTTGCCTTGTGCGGAATGCTCAGCTCTCGGTCGTGGCCCTGTCCTCCAAATCTGTCCTTCCTTCCCCCCAAGGGCTGTGTCACTGTGGCTCTCAGCACCTCGTCTGTCTCCCTCTCTCCCCCTTCTCGCTTCCCCGTGCCCTTCTCCTCCCACCCTCAACAGGCCAGGAGAGCAAGGAGCTGGAGATCCACCTGCGGACCTGGGGCGTGGTGCAGTCCAACAAGGATTCGGTCATCCTCGTCGTCAACGCCTTTGCCAGCCGCGGCACGGCCATGGGGGGGGATGACATGGAGGACGTGGTGGGGGTGTGCTTCGTGGGGCAGGACGTGACGGCTCAGAAGGCAGTGCAGGGCAAGTTCACACGCCTGCAGGGCGATTACGAGGCGATTGTGCATGGGAACAACTCGCTCATCCCTCCGATCTTCTCCACTGACGGTGAGACGCATTCTCATGTGCTTGGGGGTGCCTGGGTGTGTGCTTGCAAGGGGAGTGGGGGGGAAGGAAGGGCTTGGGGGTGGGACGTGACGTGACGGCAGTGCAGGGCTAGTTCGTTTGCCTGCAGGGAGATTACGAGGCCATTGTTCCCGGCAGCAACTCGCTCATCCCCCCGATCTTTTCTACTGATTGTCAGTGCCTGGGTGCTGGTTTGCCACCCTCACTCCACCCCTTTCAAACCTTTCCACCTCCTTCAACCCCTTTCCACTTCTTCCACCCTTTCAACCCCTTTCGACCCCTTTCGACCTCTTTCAACCCTTTCCACCCCTTCCACCTCTTTCGATCCCCTTCAATCCCTTTCCACCCCTTCCACCTCTTTCAACCCCCTTCAACCCCTTTCCACCTCATTACAGATTTTGGCAACTGCACGGACTGGAACCCCGCGATGGAGAGGATCACCGGGGTGCCACGTCAGCAGGCCATCGACCGGCTGCTGCTGGGCGGCATTTTCGGCCCCATCTGCCGCATGAAGGCGGACACGATGACGAAGCTGATGATTGTGATCAACAAGGCCATGTCCGGGCAGATGACAGATCGCTACCCCCTCGAGTTCCTCGATGCTCATGTGAGTGTTTGGTTGGTTGCACACGTGAGTCTTGGATCTCACACGATGACAAGGCTCATGATTGTGACCAACAAGGCCATGTCCGTCCGGGCAGATGACCGACCGCTATCCTCTCAAGTTCCTGGATGCCCATGCGAGTGTGTGCATGAGTGAGCGTGCTTGTACTGTGCGGTGTAGAGCATTCATGGGTGAATGAAAGACATGCACTAGTGCTCCCAATCCCTCAATACTCAACTGACACACATGGGAGCATGCAAGCAAGCAGGCATGCATGCATATAAGCATGAAGGCAGATACGATGACGAAGCTGATGATTGTGATCAACAAGGCCATGTCCGGCCAGATGTCCTCACCCTCCTTCCCCACACTCCCCTCCTCCCCGCCCCAACCCCCACTTCCTCCCCCCCCCCCCCCCTCTTCCTCCCTCCCCCGGAACCCCTCCCTCACTTCCCCCTTGCAGGGCCAACTGGTGGAGGCTCTATTGACGGTCCAGACACGTCGCGACTCAGACGGGCACGTGACGGGCATGTTCTGCGTCCTGCACACCGTCTCTGCCGAGCTCCAGGCAGCTGTCAACCTGCATCCCCCACCTGTCCCTTACTCACCCCCCCCCACACTCCCCTCCTCTCCATCCCCCACCATTCCCCTCCTCTCCTTCCCGCCACCACTCCCCTCCACTCCCACCCCCACTCCCTTCCTCCTCCCCCACAGGGCCAACTGGTGGAGGCGCTTCTGACCGTGCAGACCCGCCGGGACTCAGACGGGCACGTGACGGGGGTGTTCTGCTTCCTGCACACCGTCTCCGCGGAGCTCCAGGCAGCCCTCAACCTGCAGCGCGCCACGCAGGACTTCGCCAAGGAGAAGGCCAAAGCCGTCGCCTACACCAGAGACGCCATTCGTGGGCCGCTCGATGGGATTGAGCACGCACTGAAGGGGCTAAGGAAGGAGGAGCAGGAGGGGCGGCTGGTCGGGGAGGAGGAGAAGAATGCGGTTGGGGTGGCGGAGCGGTGCAAGGAGCAAGTGGACAGGATCCTGGGGGATGACGACATTGACACCATTGAAGAGGGGTGAGTTCTTCTGGGCTTTTTCAAACGAGTTATACATGATACATAGGTGTTCTAGTGAAAGAGAGGAATGCGGTGGGGGTGGCGGAGCGGTGCAAGGAGCAGGTGGACAGGATCCTGGGGGATGACGACATTGACACCATTGAAGAGGGGTGAGTTAATTGAATGCAGGAAGGGTGAGTTGCGTTGCGGCGGGCCAAACACGTTATACCTGATACACAGGTGTCTAGGGCAGGAGATGAGTGTGGTGGGCGTGGCAAGGAGCAGGTGGACAGGATCCTGGGGGATGACGATATTGACACCATTGAAGAAGGGTGAGTTGAAGCAAGGGAGGCAGAAGGGTACCAGAAGGGGGTGATCTCACACGCCCCCTATCCCTCCCCTCCCCTCCCCTCCCCCCCTTCCCCCGTCCCAACTCCTCCCCCTCTCCCTCCCCTTCTCAGCTACGTCATCATCATCCCGACCGTCTTCTCCATCGCATCAGTCATCGATGCGGTGGTCGCCCAGGGCAAGCAGGCCGCCTATCTTGTTATCTCACACACCTTTCCCTTTCCCCACTTCCCCTCCCTCCCCCACCCCCCCCCCCCCCCCCCCCCCCCCCCCCCCCCCCCCCCCCCTCTGCAGCTACGTCAACATCATCCCAGCCGTCTTCACCATCGCATCAGTCGTCGACGCAGTGATCGCCCAGGGGAAACAAGCCCACTTTATGGTCTCACATTTCCCAATCCCTCCCTCCCCACCCCTCTCAGCTACGTCAACATCATCCCGGCCGTCTTCACCATCGCATCAGTCATCGACGCGGTCATCGCGCAGGGCAAGCAGGCGGCCTCCCGGCGCGAAGTCTCGCTCTCCTTCGACCCGCCACCGCAGCTGCGCTCGTTCCCGGGCCTTGCAGGGGACCCTGCTCGCCTGCAGCAGGCCCTGGCGGAGTACCTCACCAGTGCGGTGGCGTTCACGCCGCAAGGCGGGTGGGTGAAGGTTCGGCTTGTGACCAGCACCAGGAGCCTGTTCGGCGATCAAGGCTCCCTCAAATGCGAATTCCGGTGAGTGGAAGTAGCAGGGAACGAGCAGGGGACGGGAAGGGGTGTGGGATTGGCATGGGATGGGCTCGCATCGAAGGGGACCCTGCCCACCTGCAGCAGCAGGCTGGGGGGGGGGGGGGGCGTCAATTCTCTCAGCCCGCCTGCAGCAGGCCCTGGCAGAGTACCTGACCAGTGCGGTTGCCTTTGCTCCACCCCCCCTTTCAGAGTGCAACACTCGGGAGCGCTCCCACAGGAGCTGGTGCAGCAGCTGTACGACGAGGCAGACCCACTCCACCACGCGCACCCAGGAGGGGCTCGGCCTCTCCGTGTGCCGCAAGATCCATGAGCGCCCTTGCTTCCCCACCCTTGCTTCCTCACCACACACCCTCCCTTGCTCATCCATCAATCTCCCCTCTCTCCCCCCCACTCCTCCCCCCCTCCCCCTCTCCCCTTGCAGGGTGCAACACTCAGGAGCGCTCCCCCAGGAGCTGGTGCAGCAGCTGTACGACGAGGCGGACCCCACCACGCGCACGCAGGAGGGGCTTGGCCTCTCGGTGTGCCGCAAGATTCTCCTCGCCATGGCGGGCGATGTGCAGTACGACCGCAACTACAACGCGTGCGAGTTTGTCGTGCGGATTGGGTTCCCCTTCGCTTAGAACCTCGCTCTCCAGTCCTCTTCCTCATCTCCTCAACCACCTTCCCTCTCGGTGTGCCGCAAGATTCTCCTCGCCATGGCGGGCGATGTGCAGTACGACCGCAACTACAACGCGTGCGAGTTTGTCGTGCGGATTGGGTTCCCCTTCGCTTAGAACCTCGCTCTCCAGTCCTCTTCCTCATCTCCTCAACCACCTTCCCTCTCGGTGTGCCGCAAGATCCTGCTAGCCATGGCAGGCGACGTGCAGTACGATCGCAACTACAACGCGTGTGAATTTATCGTGCGCATCGGATTCCCCTTCACGTAGGAAGTTCGCTCTGTGTGGCCTCTTCCTAAATCCTAGTCTGATGGACCCTAAAGACCCTAGCTCTGCTATGCCCACACCTCTTCCTCCACCTACCTAGTATGCCGCACAAAACCCTCTTTTGGTAGTTCAATCTTGGCACTTTTGTTCCTGCTTGTTGCCTTACGAAATGGAGCAGGGCAGATGAGAGGGTTTTGGATGCTGCAGTGTCTGATTGGACAGTGATCAGTGACATTGTGTATTGTAGGTGTGTGTGTTCATGTGTGACTGCTAGACTATAGTACAGGACCTGCTAGTATTCTGGGTGTGGATGAGATCCAAACAACCCTGTAAACACTTTATGCACCTCCAGACATTTTTTTTCCACTAAAAACTATCATTGCTGGGAAGAGTGTTCACACGAATAAACAAATCAGGGAGGTGCTGAAAACAATAAACAATCATATTAATGAATAAACAAATTAAATAATGCCTTAGCCGAGCAGGTTCTCTCTGGTGAGAAATACCAGTAGCACATCCTACCAGTACCAGAGAGCTGGCTAGTAGGCAGACGAATGAAAGAAGGGAGAGCAGAAGCAAGCAGACCACTCTCTTGGCTCCCCAAAGGCGTCAGCAGCAGCATACATGTTTCACCACTGCCTGTGCATGTGAAAGTTTCACAAGTCTCACATGCTTACATGCTCCCTCGATACTCCGGCTTCGAAGTTGCTTGTATCTGCACCCCAGCTGCAGATGCTGATTGGTTAAGCAAGACCCATGGACTGGACTGCCACCCAATCATTCTCGAACCTTGAGCTTGTTTCGCGACCTAAATGCCTCACAGCTGCTTGTGTAGGTGATGGATCATAGCAAACAGGGTCCCTTCGTGCTCATTCCACTCCCCCGCACCCCCCCCCACCGCTCCGCAGCTCGACCCCTCCACCCTTTCCCCTCCTTCCCCTCCTCCCCCTCCTCCCACCCCTCCCACATCCTCCATCCCATTCCCCAGTTCTGCTCCCTCCTTCGCCCCACCCAGCCTACCTCTCTCCCCACTTCCCCCATTCCCCCCTACAAGCCCAGCCACAGCCAGCAAAGCAGCCGTGTCCTCATCTGCTCCCAGGGAAATATCCACGTCAGCAGCACCAAACCCTAAACACGCCGAGCTGAACGCAGCATTAGCAGATACGGGAGTTGCGGGATTATGGTGGTTTGGAGCGAGGCCAGTGGCACGGGTGTTAGCTGCAAACTCAGCAGGGTATCCGGCACCGAAGCTGGTACTCTTTCGTGAGTTGAACGGAACTCCAAAACCCGAATTTACTGCAGTAGTAGCAGCGGCGGTAGCAGAGAAAACACCTGAAAATTCACCTGAGTTGACTTGGCTGCCACCAATTGCGAAACTGTCGAAACTCCTGGGGTTACCAGCAGGAGCAGCGGGAGCTGGGGCGGAGGAAGCAGCAGCAGCAGAGGCAGCAGCTGCAGCGAAAATCATCATTTCATTCTTGTCTTCCGTTGCAGAAAGTTCTCTCACCGTGCAATCTCCGCCACCCAGCCTTGCTTCTCCGGGCTGCCCAAAAAAACCCTGAATTGACGAAGCTAGTGCAGGCGGAGGGAGGGGGAATGTCCCCCTCCCTCTACCTGGCGCTTGCGGAGCATGGGCTCCTCCGCTCACGTGTTCAGGCGCAGGGGCGGAAGCACTGCGCGGCCAGTTCCCCCCAATCGCTGTCTCAGTGTCTGTCCCCGCGAGTTCGATCCCCTGATAGCTGCTCGCACCGGGAAACGCGCCCGCGGCATTAAAACGCAAATCTACTCGCGCTGCTGCTGCTGCGGCGGCGGCGGCGGAACCGGAGGCGGGAGCGGACGCGCCCTCCTCTAGGAAACCGCGAGCGCCACGAGCGTCGGGCGCGAAACCCGTTTGCGGAGGCTCTACTGGCGCCGCAAACCCTCCCGGGGGAAACCCTCCCGCGGCGGAAAGCCCCGCCGCCGCCTCCGCGGGAAATCCCCCCGCCTGTTGTATCGCGCGCAGTATTTCCGCCATGTCGCGGCTGTAGCGCCCCGCGGCAATCTGCCGCAGCCGCGCGTTTTCCTCCTGGAGGATCATCAGCGCTTGTTCCATCTCCTGAAGCCGCTGGTCCGCGGCGCGTTTCTCCGCCGCCATAGAATTCACCTGCGCCTCGAGCTCCACGAAGCGCTCGTGCTGCCGCTGCCGCGACCGCTTCGCGTATTCGCGGTTTAGAAGCCGGCGCTTTATAGAGCGCTCCTCCTCGGTTTCCTGCTGCATCCCGCCGCCGCCCCCGCCAGATTGTAGCGCCGCCGCTATTTCGCGCGCTTCGCCACCGCCGCCGCGCGGCGCGCCGTCGGAATTCACGCCGCCGCCGTTGCGCTCGTGCGGCGCCGAAGCGCAGCGCTGCAGCGCCCCGTGGTCTTGTGCTGCTTTGCCTTCCGAACCAGATCCCGAGCCTGAGCTGCTGGTTCGTTGGAGCCACGCCCTTAGGGTTTGGGCGCCGTGGCTGTCCGGCCAACGCTGCTTCTGCGTGTGAGTGGTAGTTAACGGGATATTAAACGTAGGCGGCGACGCGTCGCCGCGCTGCGCGCGGAAACTCCCGCCGCCGGCAGAACTGCCCCCGCGGGAGCTCCCCGCGCTAGAAGGACGCACCAGCGGCGTGCCGAAGCGGATCGGGCGGAGATAAGCCGTCGCCGGCGGAGACACGATCATATCCGCCGTGGAATGCGCGCTCGGGTTTTCCCAAGGGCTTCCGTCATGTTGAAGCTGGGCCTGATGCCCCGCCGCGAAACGCGGCGCCGACGACGTTTCTCCCATAGAGAAATCCGCTGCTTCGCGCGCCGCCGCGGGGAGAGGCGGCTTCGGCGCCGACTCGAAATTTGACGAAGGGGGCTTGTCGATCTTGATTCGCGAAATGACGGCAGCGACTGCTGACTCGAATTCTTCCGATTGGGTGCTGCGGTGGCGCTGGTGCTGTTGTTGTTGCTGCTGCTGTTGCGCCACGGGCGGCGGTTGCAGCGGCTCGACTTCTGATCCAGATTGCCAAGACATTTCTCGCACGGGGTTCGTTACACGAGAAGTTCGCCGACTCTTCCGTACAATCGGTTGGAGTTAGTTAGCTTTCAACTCGTAACAGCTCAAGAAAATCTCGTCCAAGAGGGAAAATGGATATCCCGCAATCCGCGGTTAGTACAGAAATGAAGAGATTTCGTGGTTGAGCAGTGAAAGGAAAGAAGGTGTTTGTGATTATTCCAAAAATCTGAGTTTGTGAGGATGACTGACAACAATGAAGCTTGAAGTGTGTTCGTGGAAAGGACTGTACGAGGTAGTTAATCTGTTGGATAGAGCCGAAACTTCGCAGGATGCTGGGATACGCCAAGTAAAACCACTTACGCCTCCTCCAGCACGAGCAGAAATTATGGGGTGAGGAGGAAGAAATAATGGGAACTTGATGGCGCGAGACAGCTCACTGGCTTGAGAGTCCATGGTGTCCCCTCGCGTGGACGCTTGGAAATGGCATGCCTTGAGCGTGCGGGGGGGGGATCACTGGACTGGATCGCGCGGAGAGTGGGCTCGGCTGTCCGCTTGCGCACATCTCAACCTCCCCTCCAGGATTCTCGCGCGCCCGAATCCGAACACTAGCGGTGGAGACACCGCTTTCTTTGGGACTTGTGAGTCACACTGACCCTGGCATTGCGGCGCTGGCGTGGCGTGCGGTGCAAGCACTGTACTGGCTCCGCTAGGTGTGGGCTTGGCGGTAGCGCACGGCCAAGCGAGTCAACCAGGGAAGCCGGAAACCATGAGGGAAGGGAAGGGAAGGGAAGGAGGAGAGGAGTCGATGATAGAGGAAGTGGATTTACACTACAATGGATGTCCAACCCTATCGCAACAGTATTATAGAGTTATTTAGTACGCCGACTCTTTAACATTTGAGCACGGGAACCGAAAGTCGTTTACAAGCCCTCCCGTCAGAATGTCGTTGAGAGCAGCCAACTACAAGTACCCTTAGGGCGGGGCTCATTCGGGTTTGATCGCGACTGATCTGATCGAGTCGGATCTGATCGGGTTGCTTGTGATCGCAATGCCCGAGCCGCCCGAACAGTGATGTTTTTCGAAGAAGGCTTCTAGCGCCTGATTAGCAAGTGCGGTACATTTACCTCGCATTTTCGTCCCCATTATAGCGAGGCTGGCGACTATACGTCACCTGGCGAAATAAATTCATTTCACTGTAAGTTAAACACTGTAACTAGTCGCAAGCGTCGCTGTGGACCCCGATCACATGCAATCAGGTGATCGCCTGTGATCGAGGAAAATCGACTATGATCGGGGTGTAAATCGGGGCTGATCGAATTGGGGCGATCAGTTGATCGCGATCAGCTAATCGCCCCTGATTGCCTGAATTTGGCTTTCAAACCCGATTGGGCCCACGCCCTTAATTTCCGACCAGTGCAACAAACCTAGGCACCAAACGTTGCTGCACTAAAATGGTTGGTAAACTACAGTTCCTTTCCGCCTTTGGCGAAGCTGACGAACGCATGCTCGATTCCGTCTCCATGTTTGGCGTGACTAAGATGGACAATATTTGTGCCCTGTAAATCTGGTCAGGATTTTCCGCCGCATAAGATCCGCAGCTAAGGCTCTCACTTGCTCAACTGGTTTTCACAGCGGGAAGGCGTTAGCGCACGATTGTCCCATTACATTCCCTGTCCTATTACGAATTTGTCTTGTCAAACCAAGCGAGTTTCAGCCGAGATGTGCCTAAAAAAACATTCTGAAGGCTAGGCGGATACCTCATGTAATTAGGGGTACACTTGGTGATATCCACAGCCTTCGACATTCTTTCCGCCTAGTCCGCGGTATTTTAACCACGTGAACTGTTTCGCTTCAAACACCCTTTTTTAGTTTTCGGGTAATGAGATGGGCAGCCAGAGACTTCAAGGCTATTGTTTTGCGACCAGAAGCATTTCCTTCTACAGAAACTCCCACTTAGTGCTCAGAAATAGAGGGCGGATCGGCATTGACCAGGTTTTGACTGCCTCCTCTCACAAAGGGTATGCTAGATTATACCCTCACAAAAGTTCAGAAGTACTCGTATAAAAAAGTTTGACCAAGGAGAAGTACCTTCGCGCGGTTAAGATAGCGGCGGTTAAACCCTCTTACAGTAAAAGCGTTTTTGCCTACATTATTTCGAAAGCAGAAGGACTGTGCAAAAATCCAGATGCACCCACAAGCCAATTGAAGACTCTGAAATTTGGCGTCACCTGTCGAGTAGGGTGTCGTTATAAAAGTGGGAAGGCCCGTCGTTTATTGAACGCCAACCTGTCAACTACCGCTGGCTGCCACTAGCGTCCAGGACATTTTCAAGCGCGGCCCTCTTGCTACGGCCTAATTGGACGCACCGTAAAATGAATGATTAAGAGATGATCTGGCACGTGATCATCCACAAAACAAAACCATTTGAAAGAAACAGTCTAGGGCTCGATCTAGGACGTGGGCCCAATCGGGTCTGATCGCCTCTGATCTGATCGGTTCGGATTTCTTGTGATCACTTTGCTCGAGCCGCCCAATCAGCCATGTTTCTGGTCGAAGGTTTAAAGCTATTGCTCGGCAAATGCAGGAACATTACGTGGAAATCCTCATCCAACTCACGCGAGATTGGCGACTGACTGTCACCTAGCGAAGGAATTTGTTTCCCTGTAATTACGTCAAGCCCTGGAGATGTCTCGCCATATGCCATGCATAAGCGAGGGGTTCACGAGACTCAATTCAACAGTGTAATATTTCGCAACCATCGTTATGGCCTCGATCTCATACAATCAACTGATCGAGGGTGATTGAGCAAAATCGATTTTGATCGGGGTGAAAATCGGGTGTGATTGAGTTGGGGCGATCAGCTGATCGCGATCAGCTGATCGCCCCCGATTGCCTGAGATCAGCTTCCAGGCTTCGTCGAAGTTTTTGAATGCCTCTGATTGAGGCGATCAAACTTGATTGGGTCCACATCCTCAACTTCAAAGAATGGCTGCTGTACCAATCTGAAAAGAGAAGGTACGTGATGAGGTCAGGCGTATAAACAAGCGAGTTTCTCCGCTAGACATACTTGTGAAGTGTGCGCAATCTCTGAAACTTTTAAAATTTCAAAAAATGCAGGCGATTGATGGTCCCTCTCAAGCATAACGCTCATACAATATAGGGTTACGGTTGGTGGAGCGGAGAAAACAGGAGCCATAAAGAGCATGGATGCCACAACACTGGACACTTAGTAGGGGCCCCCACAAATTGACATACGTGTTTGTTGGAGGAATTATCTGCAGTATTTCCTAAGAATGAACTTGCAAAGACATTGCTACTGTAGTCTCATGTTGGCAGCAAAATGATGGCTTGAGGTGAGACCAGCCCCTAATGAGTGCAGAATCCCCAGATTTACAATTTAGATTGGATTACGATTTTGGACTCCAATGCACAGAATGGTGCATGAACCACGAAGTTTCATCTGGTTTGGTTGATCTTCAAAACATCGTAAAAACGCAGACTACAGTAGGGCTCATTCGAGCCTCATACACCATAGGCGATGTGCGCGAGGAAGCCAGGCGGGCATCATACTGTACAAGGACAGTGACCGAGAGAAGAGAAAGGTCGTCTGTTTCGTTTGGCTGGTTAGGCAAATATGTGGAACAAAGTTACTGTAGTGATGTAGCACTGTACACAACAGCACTCCGACTTGATAATAAGTCCTCAACCCGTGGCCCACTCTCCAGGTGAATTGAGTCAGCACGAACTCTGAACAGTGCCACGACGATTTCGTGCAAGCCGGGACAAGTCTCTCTACAGAGCTTTATTTTGATAGAACATATACGTCAAAACATTTTGCAATAAGAATTCTATTTCTCTCTGGATTCCTTGAGACCCATCAAAATATCAACACACATCTGTCAGATGGCACAGGTAAACGCAATAGGAGAGATGCCAGATTCTTTCAGAGATTTTCAGCAGACACGGAAGAGCGCCTTGGAGAGAGTACACTCGTATTAATCCAAAGCACCTACAGCCATGAGAAAACAATCATATTTCTCAGATTCTACCGGACCGGCCTTATGCTAGCTTCAGGAGCTCAATCAGTGCAGGATTACACTTGACCACCAATGAGAAACTTCTCTATCTCCCATAAGAAACGCAGCTTCGGAAACTGCAACCATGTGTTTTGTCCCCAGCACTTAAAAGCGGAGCTTGGAGAAGAACCATCTGTTCTTGCCCGTCTTGAATCGCTCCTCAAAGATCTTCTTCAGCTCCTGTGGTGCCGTATAGGCAGATGGGCATAACAGGCAAACCGGCAGGTGGGCAAACGAGCCGAGGAATGGGCAGAGGGAGACGAGGAAGGAGGAAGGGTCAACACAAGCACTTTATGAGCAGGGACAAAGAGAAGGGAAGAGAACATGGAAAAACAGAACGGGGAGGAAATCAGAGTTGGGGGAAGCAGGGGAGGGGATATGGCACAGCTGAAGAAAGCACAAGGCCAGAAAACACATTGATTTGCACGCAGCCTACGAACATTCACCCAAATTTGCCTTCCTCTCCCTCCCTCTCTCAATCCACTCTGTCTTCCCCCCTGTTCTCTCTCTCAACCCCCCTCCCCAATCGTATTGCTCTCCCTCAGCCCTTTCTCCTCACACCCTCTGCTCCTCCCCCCTCTCTTCTTTCCCCTCTCTCTTCTTTCCCCCCCCTTCGTTCCTCCCCTCCCCTTCGCTCGCCCCCTCGCTCACATTCTTGGTCTCTACCGCTTGGCCGATTCTTGTGTCCAGCCCCAAAACACCCCCGCTTTCTCCTCCCCCCTCTCTCCTGCCTTCACTTTCCCCCTCCTCACCTTTCTACTCTAATAAAAAAGGTTTTGTACAAAGCACTTATGCTCTCCTTGCTCTCCCCTTCCCTCACCCCCCCTCACCTTCTTGGTCTCCACCCGCTTGGCCGAGCTCTCAAGCTTGTCAGCCGTCACCGTGCTCTTGAGGTCCACGTCCAGCTGGTACCTGCGGTCAACGCCAGCCAACGGGGGTCAACGGGGGTCAACGGGGGCACAAAGGGGTCAACGGGAAGTCAAACAGAGTCAATGTCACAGATGGCAGGTCAAGCTCGTCGGCCGTCACCGTGCCCTTGAGGTCGACGTCCAGCTGGTACCTGCGGTCAACGCCAGTCAACGTACGTCAAACGGAAGTAAAATGAGAGCCAATGGGAGTCCACGATTGTCATGAATGGTCAATGGGTGTCAAAAAAATTTCAAGTGGCCGTAATGATGTGGTCAAGTCGAACTGAAACAGCAGTCAACATAAGTCAACGCGTATGCTGAGATAAAGTCGAGGAAGGGAAAGGCGGAAAAGGGAAAAAAGGGGGAGGGTACTTGGAGGAAGCGGAAGAGGGTGAGGTTGGGAGGGGCGGGTGGTTTATGAATGACAAGGTGTGCCGGTGGAGTGAGAGAGATGTGGGGAAATGGGAGAGGGATGTGGGAGCGTGTCAGAGGGGAAGCGGGGAAGTAGGAATTTAAGATGCAGGGGATAGGGGAGGGGGGTAAAGGGAATAAAAGGAAGGATTGTGGCGAACAGGAGAGGGATGTGGGACAAGTAAAGAGAGAGGTACAGGGGATCGGGGCGGAAAATATGAGAGAACAGGAAGGGGGGATGTGGGGGTTGGGAGAGCGGGATACGGGGAACAGCGCAGGAGGGGAATTTAGTGAGGGGAGAGGGGGGAGTGGGATGCGGAGGAGGTTGGAGTGGCAGATTAATTACCCAATAGGCGATGTAGTTAATCAGATAGGCAAATTAGTTACCTAGTGGGCGCATAGCATAAGGGGATTGTAGTTAACGAGCTGGATAAAGTCCCCCACTTGCAAACAAGGTAATCAACTATCTAGCAGTCAATAATACCTAGTGGGCAGATTAATTACCTAGTGGGCATGAGGTGGTTATAGTTAACAAGCTTGATGAACGCCTTCACTTGCGAGCGCTTCGCGAGGGTCTTGGGCGTGAGCTTCTTTGTGACCTGGAGGAGTGGGAAGGGGTGGAAAACAGCGGGGAGGCGAGGAGTGGGAAGATGTGCGGGGAAGTGGGAGAGGTGAGAAGGGGAAAGACACCCTTGCGAGGGTCTTGGAGGTGATCTTCCTCGTGACCTGGAGGAGTGGGGAGGAGTGGGGAGGCGTGTGGAGGGGCGCGCAGGTATTTTGAGTGGGAAAATTGTCACCCTTCCACCTCAATGCAAGAACTCCTACACACCTCTAACGCGTCATCACAGCCGTCGATCCACGTCCGTAAGACCCGAGTTGATCTACGTCGGATGGACACGTATCTCAATCTACGTCCACACCACCAGCATCCTGATCGGGCCGCCGTAAAAAGCGCGACGAAGGCGGTCTGGCGCAAAATGAATCACAGATGGAAAAACCCTGATCCACGTCCAGCAGTATCAGAACTACTTCCGCAGATTCAAGCGTGACTGGTGGTTGACGGTTGACGGCTTTCGAGGCGCCAAGAAAACTAGACGCGGAAACTACGCCTATCAGACGACTGCCGGCCAAACTGAGCCTGTCCGACGGCTGACGGTGAATTCAAGCCTGGCTGACGGTGAATTCACGCCTGGCTGACGGCTGACCACTTGCTCGCAGCGCGGAAAACGAGATACTTCAAGTTAGCGGGCGTCCCACCTAGGTCACGGCCCTTTGATCCCATGATCCCTCGGTGGTTCCTCAGTCTCCTCGGTCTCCGACCTCCCCCGCTCCCACGGGTGTGTTTTGAGTCGACTCAAAATACGCGCGGATACGAAAAATCCCCAAGTCAACGGACGTCGAACCTAGGTCACGGCCCTTTGACCCTATAATCCCTCGATGGTTCCTCCGTCTCCTTCCCTCCCTCGCTCACACGGGGCCCGCATTTCTGTCTGTCGACTCTGCACGTTGACGTGCACGGCGCGCAGCTCAAGACGGCCAAACTAACCATCTCTCGGTCCTCTTCTCCCTGCGATACGTCTGCGCGCGCAACACGTTGACGTTTACGGCGCGCATTTCAAGATGGCCAAACTAACGGTCCGTCGGTCCTTCCCTCCTTCCGACCATTCCGCATATCTGTCTGCACGCGCAACACGTCAGCGTTCACGGGGCGCATTTTCGGTCCCTCGGTCCTTCGATCGCTCGCTCTCTCGCGCCCTCACACCAACCATCCCGCATGTCTGTCTGCCGGTTATACAAGCTGATACTCACACGTGGGCGTCCACGGCGCGTCGCTTCAAAATCGACGTCTACGGTATTTTCGAGATTGCCTAATCGACAATGTTTCCTTGACCGCTTCTGATCGACGGTGCTGCTTCGAGGATGCTGCTTATGGCGCGGCCACCTGTACAATCGACTATTGCTGCACAGCACAGTCGAATCTACGGTGGTAACGAGTACTACTCAAAACTAGTCGACGCCGCAAATTACGCATCAATTTCCGCGTCAACCGCCATGGTTGCAGGTTCCTGGCCCGACGCAAGGCCACATCCCACGCCACGTCATACCAAGATCGGCCACCTTACCTTGCGGGGATACTTGGAGATCCCGGCAACGAGCGCGTGGCCGTACTGCCGGCCGGAAACGCCGTCGTCGAAGTTCTTAACGATCACTGCCTTGCGGCCGGCATAGCGGCCCTGCAGCACCACCACCACCTTGTTCGGCTTCAGGAACTTCACCATTGTGACAGTAGCGAGGGGACAGGACGGAACTACAGCGAAAAGGTTGGCGGGACAGATGCCCGAGGCTCCTTAGACTGCCTACGGTTGGTGGTGGGAGGGAGAAAAAGGGGTAAGTCGAGGAGGAGGAGAAGGGATATGCTCACTAAACCCTAAAGGCCTCCGCGGGAGTGTTCCTTCCGCGACTTCTGCCCCCGTGTTTACTGCTTCTCCGCCACCCGTTGCCGTGTGTGGCTGTGCGCAACGACTTCCGGGCTCCTGATTCCGCGTTACTGGAACCGCGGTGCTGGTAATGTTTTTCGTCGCCCTGCAGGGGGCTATCGTTGGGTACTGGGCCGTGATTTGACAACGATCGTGCGAGAACTGGTTACCCTGATTTTCAATAGTTTCTGTCGAGAACGTAATTTTGGCTTTGTCGCCCTCCACTTCGAAGCCAATGGGTTGGCTTCGTCGCGACGTGATTGTGGCATGCGTCGATGTTACCCTGTCCTAGTATAATTTTGATATGGTGACTCATAGAGGGGTGGTATGCCACGGACACATGGTGCGTTACTGAGCGACTATTTAAGATTACGCTTTAGAATGACGAAACATCCGTTCATAACAAATCAGGCCACAAATGGAATGACAACCAGCACAGTGCTTTCGCCAGAGAACCTAAAATGTTTTGTGATGTACGGTTGTTGAATAACAAAAATTCATTCACATCAGCTAACATATTCAGTATTTCCTGTATTTTGATCCACTAAATCCTCCTAACGGTGCTAAAACCACCACACACAGATCGCATAACAGTAGGAAACCATTGCAGTGTACCGCATTCTAATCCCGCTTGCTGCCCACTCAGGGCAGGGCACATTGCTGGGAAGTCGCGTCACAACAAACACCACATACTTCTCTGCACCGAATTTCACCTAAGGATCAATGGTTTGCACCGTACAGTATCTCGTCTTTTGTGACCCGAGGTTTTGTGCCGCGTGCCAGGAGTGTACTCGCAATCAGCCATTGTTTCAATGAATTGGGAATGTGTTATGGAAACGTCACCGCGCAGTAAACCATGGATGGGCTGCCCACAGGGACAATAAAGGCACGTTATTCAAAGGATGCATGAACCACAGTTGAAGACCGAATGTCGCAGCAGCAACGAATATGAAGGAAAAGACTCTCACGCAGAAATAACGGCATGTTTAGTGTGCACACATGCACTCGCAGGGGAGGGGGGGGTGCAAGGGAAATGAAGCGAAAGAAGAAAATAGGAGGAAACTGGACACAAGAATAGAAAGCATGCTTACCAAGAGCCCCTTGTGCCGTGAGCCTCTTTTTAGTATCCCTCACAAGCATCTTCTTTAACAGATCCACTGCCTCCGCGCTCACGCCGCGCCACGCGTCCCCTCTGTAGCTCGCCTTGGCTTCCTTTATAGCTTTGATCACTCCGGCTTCGGTGCGCGCCCAAAACGGCGGCACTCCCGCCAGCATGACATAGAGCACGACCCCCGCGCTCCAGATGTCAGCAGGGAAGGAGTAGCTGCCCTCCACCACCTCTGGTGCCACGTAGTATGGTGATCCCATGAACTCCGTCAGGGGCTTGGCGCCTGGTGATGGGGAGTTGAGAGCGGTGGAGCGCGGTGAGGAGTGGTGGGGAGTGGTGACATGAATCAGAGAGAACGAGTGACATAGAGCACGACCCCCGCACTCCAGATGTCTGCAAGGAAGGAGTAGCTGCCATCCACCACCTCCGGTGCCACATAATACGATGATCCCATGAACCCAGTCAGGGGCTTGGCACCTTGAGATGGGAGGTTGAGAGCGGTTGGGAACAGTTAGAAGTGGCGGGGAGCGGTGGGGAACGGTGGGGAGTGGTATGAGAAAAGGAGTTGCACAATGAAGGAGTAGCTGCCCTCCACCACCTCGGGTGCCTGAGCCTCAGACCCCTTGAGCACCTGGCAATTCACCTGGCATCTCACCTGGTTTCACGATGGCAGCGATGCCGAAGTCCATGACCCGGCAGTCGGAGAGCGACTGCTGTGACTTGACGAGATTTCGGGCTCCTGGAGAGGGAGTGCTACAAGAGGAGGATGACCTCTCACTCTTGCAAGGACACGTACTGCCCACCTGGTTTCACGATGGCAGCGATGCCGAAATCGATGACCCGGCAGTCAGAGAGGGACTGCTGTGACTTGAGGAGAATGTTTTCGGGCTCCTGGAGAGGGAGTGCTACAAGAGGAGGATGACCTCTCACTGTTGCAAGGACACGCACTGCCCACCTGGTTTCACGATGGCAGCGATGCCGAAATCGATGACCCGGCAGTCAGAGAGGGACTGCTGTGACTTGAGGAGAATGTTTTCGGGCTTGATGTCGCGATGCACGATGCCGTGCTGGTGGCAGTGTGCTAGCACAGACAGCACCTGATGAGATTGTGAGACAACAGGGTTGGTGGGGGAGAGGTGTGGATTAGGGCATTAGAGGCTTGATGTCCCGATGCCCGAAGCCGTGCTGGTGGCAGTGTGCTAGCACGGACAGCACCTGGTGGGATAGAATAGGGGGGAAAGGGGGACAGAGGGAATAGGGGATAGGGGATAGGGGTAGGGGATAGGGGTAGGGGATAGGGATAGGGGATAGGGGTAGGGGATAGGGAATGGGATGCAGAAGGGGGGGCAACAAGGGTGTGACTTGAGGAGGATGTTTTCAGGCTTGATATCCCGTGATTACGTTGCTTGCTGCATCATGCTCTGCGTGTAATTCTGCAAGTGAGATATCCTGCTCCTTACCTGCTGCATGATGCCCTGAGCGTCCCTCTCGTCCAGGCGCCGTCTCTCCTTGATGCGATCGAACAGCTCACCCCCATGGCACAGCTCCATCACCAGATGCACCGCCTGCCGTGCCATGCCATGCCATGCATAGTCATGGAAATGCCATGCCATCGCAGACATTCCATGGCAAGTAGAAAATAATGGAAAAAAAAAAAAAAAAAATGGAGTTATGGAAGAATTCTTTTTGTATTGTAAGCCTGCACACATTACATTATTTTTTGCAGAAAAAAAAAAAAAAAAAAAAACACACACACACACACACATCAGCTGCCTGCCCGCCACAAATCTTTTGTGAAACCCTTACAAAAAAAAAAAAAAAAAAAAAAAAAAAAAAAAAAAAAAAAAAACTTTCCGCTCGATCACACACCTCCTCGTCCCATCAGCAGGTTTTCCTGTGGTAAACCTCAACTCAACCAGCCACATTCATAAACGTTTTTTGCAGCCTCAATCCAGACTCTCAGCTCCACCACACACCCCCTCACCCAACACTCACACCCTCATCCACATACCACCACATACCACCACATACCACCACATACCACCACACACCACCACACACCACCGCATACCACCACCGCATACCTCCTCGTCCTTAAACACATCTTCGAGCTTTGCCACGTTCCCATGCCTGCCCACCATCTCATGCACCACCAAGCCTCATCTAGACTGCTCACCCACCACATACCACCGCATACCACCCCATAACCCCTCGCCCACCACTTACCTCCTCGTCCTCAAACACGTCTTCCAGCTTTGCCACGTTGGCATGCCCGCCCAGCATCTCATGCACCACCAAGCCTCATCCAGACTGCTCATCCAGACCACACACCACATACCACCGCATACCACCACACACCTCCTCGTCCTCGAACACATCTTCCAGCTTTGCCACGTTGGCATGCCCGCCCAGCACCTCATGCACCATCACCTCCCTCTTCACTGCATCCACATCCGCCTTGCTCTGTAGTGTGTGGGAGGAAGGAGATGTAGGAGGGAAAGAGTGGGGGAGGGGGACAGCGCAGTATGGAAGGGATCATCCTCTCTAAGAGCCTCAACAGCCATGCCAGCCCACCATCTCATGCACCATCACCTCCCTCTTCACTGCATCAACGTCCGCCTTGCTCTGCAAAACGCAGGGGGGACACGGAGAAAGGACAGGGCGCGTGGGGAGGGAGAGGGAACAGAAGGAGTCTAAAAGCACATGCACATGCCCGCCCAGCACCTCATGCACCATCACCTCCCTCTTCACTGCATCAACGTCCGCCTTGCTCTGTAGTGTTTGGGAGGAAGGGGAGTAGGAGCGAGGGAGTGTGGAAGGAAGACGGGGCAATATGGAAAATATTATCACTCTAGGTGCCTCAAGCACCGTGCCTGCCCGCCCACCATCCCATGCGCCATCAACTCCCTCTTCACTGCCTCCACTTCCGCCTTGCTCTGTAGAGGGCAGGAGGAAGAAGGAGAAAGGAGAGGGCCCGTGGGGAGGGAGAGGGAGCGGATGGAGTCTAGAAGCACATACTCCTGCCCGCCCGCCCACCACCTCATGCACCATCACCTCCCTCTTCACTGCTTCCACGTCCACCTTGCTCTGTACAGTGGAAGGAGAGCGTGAGCAAGAAAGGGCAGGGCGTATGGGAGGGAGACGGAGCAGTACGGATGGGTGCATAGCTCACTAACTGCCTCAAGCACCATGCCCGCCCACCACCTCATGAACCATCATGCCTCTTAACTGAATCCCTCATGCCTCTTAACTGAATCCACATCCGCCTTGCTCTGTAGTGTGTGGGAGGAAAGGGTGTAGGAGGAAAAGAGTGTGGGAGGGAGACGGGGCGATTATCGTTCTAGGTGCCTCAAGCACCATGCCCGCCCACCATCTCATGCACCATGCCCGCCCACCATCCAATGCACCATCACCTCCTGCTTCATTGCATCAACATCCGCCTTGATACGTGGAGCAAGAGGGGATAGAGGGAGAAGGGACAGAGGGAGCGTATAAGCACATAGTCCTGCATGCCCGCCCACCATCCCATGCACCATCACCTCCTGCTTCACTGCATCAACATCCGCCTTGCTACGTGGAGCAAGAGGGGATAGAAGGAGAAGGGACAGAGGGAGCGTATAAGCACATAGTCCTGCATGCCCGCCCACCATCCCATGCACCATCACCTCCTGCTTCACTGCGACGAGTTTTGAGGCGCCTCAAAACTCGCCCACCATCCCATGCACCATCACCTCCCGCTTCACTGCGAAGAGTTTTGAGGCGCCTCAAAACTCGCCCACCATCCCATGCACCATCACCTCCCGCTTCACTGCGAAGAGTTTTGAGGCGCCTCAAAACTCGCCCACCATCCCATGCACCATCACCTCCCGCTTCACTGCGACGAGTTTTGAGGCGCCTCAAAACTCGCCCACCATCCCATGCTCCATCACCTCCCGCTTCACTGCCCCCACATCCGCCTTGCTCTGTAGAACGAAGGGGAAAGAAGGAGAAAGGACTGGGCACGTGGGGAGGGAGAAGGGAGAGAGGGGGTCCAGAAGCACATAGTCATGCCCGCCCACCACCTCATGCACCACCACCTCCCTCTTCACTGTCTCCACATCCGCCTTGCTCTACACAACAAGAGGGGAAAGGAAAGGGATTTGAGGGAGAAAGGGCAGGGGCCATGGAGAGGGAGAGGGGCGAAGGGGCTATAACCACATGCTCACGCCCGCCCACCATCTCATGCACCATCACCTCCCTCTTCACTGCCTCCACATCAGTTCTCCACCCCTTCAACTCGCCCTTTCGAGATCCCCTTAATCCTTGCACCTCCCACCTCCCTGCTCCTTGCACCCTTCCCACTCTCACCTTCAGGTCGCCCTTATTGATCAACTTGCAAGCCAGCTGCCGCCTGGTCTGCTTGCACTGCACCACTGCACCACCTGCCTTTGATTCACTCCTATTACTTTCCTTGCAACCCCCCCCCTGCCCTTCCCACTCTCACCTTCAGGTCGCCCTTATTGATCGACTTGCAGGCCAGCTGCCGCCCGGTCTGCTTGCACTGCACTACGCGCGTCACTCCAAACTGCCCCGCCCCAAGCTCCTTCTCACTCATCATATACTTCTTGTCCAGCCGCCCAAACTCCCGCCCAAGCACGCTCCCGCCCCCACTCCCAAAGAACCCTCTTTTCATCTGAGCCAGGCCCCTTTTAGCAAACCCTAGCAGCCCGCCCTTCTTGCTGGACTTGAAAAAGGAGGACTGGATTTCCTCCACTGTGCATGCTGCGTCCCCCTCCACTGCCCCCAACGCGTTCAGGTCCTCTGCGGAAAGCGAGGAGAGGCGGGAAATTTTCTTGTCTGCACCTGCGCTGCCCGCACCAGCAGCACCCCCACCACCACCACCAGCACCACCACCACCACCAGCAGAAGCAGATGCGCCAGGGCTATGCGGACTCCCGACACTCCCAGAGGAGCGGTGAGGGGAATGAGGGTCACTCTCAACAGAAGCACGTCTCGGTAAGGGCGCCCGGTGCGGCTGCTGCTGCAGGTGATACTGCTGCAGCGACTGCGATTGCGATCGCGCCAGAGGGGAGTGAGAAGGGTGTGACTGCCCCTGCCCCTGCCCCACGTATTTCCTCTCCACAGCCCCCCCTCCCAGGAGCGCACCCACGTCCATGCTAGTCCCTCTAGCAATCCGCCCCTTGGGTTCTCCCCTTCCTCCGTCTCCCCCTCGTTCTCCCCCTCGTTCCCCCTCTCTCTCTCTCCCACTGTCAGCACTGGCCTGTCTGGGAACCCCAACCCCTGGCCTCCCACCTCGCATTCTCTCCATCTCCCTCTCTCTCTCCCTCTCCCTCTCTCGCTCCCTGTCCTTCTCTCTCCCCCACCCAGCGTCCACACTAGCTTGCCTGGCGATACGCGGGGCTCCTCGCCTTGCCTCATCAGCCCTTGCCCTTTCCCTCTCTCTCTCCCTCTCCCTCTCCCTCTCTCTGTCCCTGTCCCTGTCCCTGTCCCTGTCCCTGTCCCTGTCCCTATCCCTGTCCCTGCATTCATCAACACTGGATTGACGAGGAATTCTTTCCCTCCTCTCTTCCCACTGCCTCTCTCTCTCCCTCTCCCTCCTCTCCTCCCAATCTCTATCCCTCCCACTGTCAACACTCGCTTGACGCGCAATCCTCCCCTTCCTCTCGTCCCGTTCACCTACCCTCTCACCTCTCCTCTCCTCCCTCTCTCTCTCCCATCCCCCACCATCCACACTACCCTGCCTGGGAACCCGCGGAATCCTATCCCCTCCCCGCCTCTCCTCCCTATCCCTGTCCGGCCGCCCACCATCTACACTCCCTTGTCGAGGGACACGCGGGATTCTATCCCCCCGCCTTTCATCCCTCTCCCTCTCCGCGCCCCCACTGCCATCTACACTCGATTGACGGGGCACACGCGGGATTCTAGCCCCTTTCACTTCGTCCCTTTCCCCCCTACGCTCCACTCTTCCATCATCCCTCTCTCCCCGAACCTTCCTCTCACCCCTCCCCTCCTCCCTCTCCCGTTTCTCAAAACTGCTTTGCCGGCTCATCCTATGTCTCCTCTCTTCCGCCTCCTCCTCTTCATACCTTCTCAGCATAGCACCTCCCTCACTCGCTTGCCTAGGCAGCCTTCCCCCCCTCTCCGCCCTCTCTCCTCTCTCCCCTCCCCTTCCACCTCCACCCCTCTCCCTCTCCTCCTCTGTAAACGACCGCCTCCTGTTCCCCCTCACTCTCTCATCCCCGTCATAAGACTCCTCGCTAGCCACAGAAGAGCTCCTACCAGGAAAAACGGGCGGAAGACCAGGAGAAGCGCCCCCAGCAAGGGGGGGAAGGCCAGGGGGAAGACCAGGGGAAGCTCCCCCCCCAACAGGCGGAAGCCCCCCCCCAGACGCCCCTATTCCCCCTCTTCTCCTCCCCCCGTCCTCATCCCAATCCGCCCGCCCGTCACCCTTCCCCCCTCCTATTCCTGGCTCTGTCAAACCCCTTCCACGCCTGGGGTCCAGGGGTAGGCTTTCCTGTCTCAGTGTTTCCATCCCAGGAACACTGGCGGCGGTGGCAGCAGCAGCATCGAGGTCTGTTTCAAAAGCAGAGTCGCTGGTGGTTGAAATGCTTCGCTCTGAGAGTGACTTGCGCAGCACACGACCAGCTGGCGCTGCTGGGAAGGGGGAGAGGGGAGGGGAGGGGAGTCATGGGCAGCAGCAGCATTGAAGTCTGTCTCGAGCATGGTACACGTTTTGAGTCGACTCAAAACACGAGGTCTGTTTCAAGCGTGCTAGATGTCACGGATATCAGCACTTGCTTGTTGAGACCACTCAAACACCGACTCACCAGCTTTGGGGGGCAGCCCTCTGTCCCGCAGGTTTGCACCGCTGTCAGCACTGCGGGTGCCCTATATTTAGTGTGCACTGTGTACCAATATTTAGACGCTAAAAAACACCCCATGCTCACCAGCTTTAGGGGGCAGCCCTCTGTCCCGCAGGTTCGCACCGCTGTCAGCACTGCGGATGCTGTAGATGCCGCGGCTATCATCGCCTTGCATGCTCCCCTTTCCTTCCTTCAGCCTCCTGTTCCAAGCCCCCTCTCCCTCCTCTCCCTCCTCTTCCTCATCCCACTCCTCTTCCTCCTCTCCTTCCGTCCCTTTCCATCCCCTTTCCCCCTTCCCCATCCCTTCCGCATACCCATCTGCACCAATCCCCCGCTTCTCATACCCCTCCGCCCTCATTCTCTCTGCGCCTCCCTCTTCATCCGAGCCTGCTTCCGAACCATCACCCAAGCCTTCACCCGAGCCTAGGCTGTCGTCCCGCCGGTAGCGTTCTCTGTGCCTCTCCTCCTCCCCACCGTAGCTCTCACTTTCGAGGGGAGATTCATTACCCTCCTCCGCCTCTCCCACCCTCTCCTCCCCCCTCCTCGCTCCCCCTCTCCCCTTCCCATGCCATTCCTCCTCCCCGTCCTCATAGTCCTCTCTGCCGTTGTCCCCCCTCCCCTCTCCCCTTCCCTCCCCCTCTTCTTCCTCGCCATCTTCCCCCCTTCTAAACTTCCCTGCCCTTCGTTTCTCATCCTTTCTCCCCTGCCCCCTGCCCCCACTCCCACCATACTCGTCATAACCTCCAGACTCTGAATTCTCACTTTCGTCCGATTCACGATCCCTGTAGTCACGCCCCTTGTAGTCCAATTCGTTAAAGTCACGGTCATCCAGGTCCCTTTCGTGATCTCTGTCAATCTCCCCACCGCGCCTCCTTCCTTCCCCATGCCTACCCCTCTCCCTCTCGTACTCTCTCTCCCTCCCATACTCTCTCTCCCGCTCCCAATCCCCCTCCTCCTCTCCTCTCCTCCCCTCACCTCGCCGCCGCCCCTCCCTCTCCCTCCCTGCCCGCCCCGCGCTTCCGCCAGGCGGTGGAGTGCCACGTGGCGGTCTCTCCGCCTCTGTGCTGTTTTGCCGCCGAAACGACCTCCCCCCGACACCACCGCCCTTACTACCGCTGCTGATCCCCGCCCGATCATCGAATCCCGGCGACGCTGCGCCGTGCATTCCGGGCGGCGTAAGTGGCGAGCCGCGGCCGCTACACGACATAGATCTGCCGGCTGTGGAAAACGCGGATCCCGATCCACCTCTTCCGCTTCCGCTTCCGCCGCTCGCGGAAATGCGACCGCCGCCGTCGCCCTTACTAGGCGTGCTCGGCCTCTCAAGCAGCTGCTGCTGCGCTGCCGGTCGGCCGCCGGAACTTGTCGGCCGGCTGACCGCCGTCGGACGGCCGCCGCTTGTAGACGGCCGGGCCGGATGTTGACCCGTCGGCGACTGTTGCTGCTGCTGCTGCAGAAGCGTCATGACTTGGCGCGCTTTGGCCACCTGACGCGTGTTCGCGGCGTTTTCGGGTTGTTGGAGCTTTTCCATGAGCGTTGCAGCTTTGGAGAGCTGCTGCGGGGACACGTGGGCGGCTCCGCCAATCGAAGACGAGGCGGAGCGTCGGTGGGATTTGTCGTTTTTGCTCGCCATGACGGAATGTGTTTTGAGCGAAATAAAAATGGATAAGAAATGGATGAAACCCTATCAACTAGGATGTTGGTAAGCCACTAAAATGGAATACCGGAATCCTAGAAGGCACCCTGGAATGTAGTCTAAAATGCTAACTACATTCAATAGTGACTATAATGCAGTCTAGGTGGATGGATGAGAGTTGCTGGCATCGAAGCGCCGTGGGTTCTTAACGCCATCGAAGCGCGCAGCCGGCATTAGCCTGATGGCGATTGTGATGTCAATAAGGAGCTACGGAGCATGCAGATAAGGATGGCGAAGGAAGGCGAAGAGCAGTGGCGAAAGGAAGCGAAACCCTTGTCAGGCTCTCGCATCCAAACGCCAACCTCGACTTTTCCACTTCAATAAGAATTCCGTGGAAGTTGCTTTCTAAGTTTCTCAAAAGCGGAAATGACGCGTGGCATCCACGTCGACAATGACTAGGCTTTTCGTCGGTTATTACAGTATTCTGAACATCTACGAACCAACATTGGTGCGTGAAGGCCAGCTGCTGACCGAATGAGCCGCAAACCAGCCAACCCTAGCGAGGGAACCAATTCTTGTTACGAAGGCTGGAAGCCACCCAAGCAGGGAATTCTTGCTGCTATTCCTACTGCTTGTCTTGCCTGGAATTGCTAGCTTCGATCACCTCCACAGGATAATCTCGATTTCTGTGTGTTGCTGCTGGTCTTGATTCCTGATTCCTGAACTTGGATAAGATCATCTCGAGCACAGTTTTATGAGGGCTTATTTGCTATACATGTTTCTCGCAGCCAAACGTTTCCGTACAGCAGAAAATGCCAGATGGACTTTTCAAGTGCTCTGCAACAAGAATCCCACCGAGCCGAGTGCGATACAAACTGGTTCCAAAAACCGGAAACACTGTCTACGCATGGACGATGGGATGAGCACTGGAGCAGATGCATCGATGGGTGCCCAGTCCACTGCGCAGCCCATCACACTCATGTACGTATGGAGAACACCGTGTTCAGAAATGTGGTAGGTGGCAACAATGACCGTATGGTACCCGTTATGAAAAAACGTCGCTAGAATTTAAAGTCCACAGCATACAGCCATGATATGTATCTTAAGACTCCTTCACATTATCCATTGGTCCATGCAAGCAACTACCACCTAACCTAACACAATATGGCACTGAATATGGCTAGACCGTTGCATGCAGACATGCATTATAACCATATGAGATTGTTATATATTAGACGTATACCTATAATAGCATCACAATTTCCCGTTATTTTTTCGATCGGCTTACAGCAGTATCTATGTGATGCTCTCCATTTGTATACAACCCATGCACAAGTTGTCACTATATCGTGCTGCTCGTGTTGGAACTGCCTGAGCCTCGGACATTACCTTCATGCACATTTCAATAATAAATATATCGCTATTATAAATATATTAAAGGAACGTATCGTTATAGCACAAGCATAACCTGTCAAAATCCCAACCACTAGACCATTGGGATAAAAGGGCTTGTTAAGTAGCGGGTCAGTGCGCCCATAACCCCCCAGGCCAACGTGCATATAACCCTTCCCTATGATCAATCGGGGATCACCAGTAGACCTCTCACACCCCCCTGCGCTAGGATGCCCGAAGTGCATACACCGGAATTCGAAACCCGAGACCTTCACTCTGATACCATGTCAGAATCCCAACCACTAGACCATTGGGATAAAAGGGCTTGTTAAGTAGCGGGTCACTGCGCCCATAACCCCCCAGGCCAACGTGCCTGTAACCCTTCCCTAGGATCAATCGGGAATCACCACTGGACCTCTGACATAGCCAATATGGCATATATAGCATTGTGAAAGCTTGCTTAGTCCATCTTGCACAGGCAACGTGCTTCATTCCAAACGGGCAAGTACAACGTTCTCGTTCATCAATGATACACAATAAGGTGGGTGGTGGGAAAGTAAACTAGAAATTTGGAAATGAATAACGTGGGTGGAGCTACTGGGATCACGTTCCTCTTTTGTAGGCAAAAGATGTGTGAGTAGTGTCGAGCCGCTACTTTTGCTTTGTTGTCCACGTCCTTGCTTTCACAATACGAAATTTGAAAAAAGTGTTACACATTTACAAATTATAGCATCATGTCAGAATAACTGTGCATGAATGAATGAACTATGAATGAGTTGGGTACAAGTGTTGTACCCTTTACACTAGAGCCTAGAGAGAACACAAGCATACACTTTGAGACAACCCTATAGGCTAAGTAGGAGAGAGCAAACACAACATACGGACACAAGATCAGTAAAGCAAGAGAACAATCAAAGCAAAGCTCAGGATGGATCTCAAGGACACCACACAATAAGAGCAGAAGCAAGCAGCCACAATGCCATTTCGCATGCAAAGTTATAATAGCAAGGCAATATATTTATCACAACATAGCAAGAGTAAACAAGCAGGTATAAAGATATATATCAGTGTACAACAAGAGCACGTCAAACAACCAGCAGGTGAGGCAGAGTGGACACAAGCCAGTGCAGAAACGTTGATGATCACCAGACCCAAGGGCCTTGGTGAACACATCGGCAGTGTTGGCTCGTGAGGCCACGTAGGAAAGGCGGAGCTGGCGACGCTGCTGCAGCTCAAGTGCAAGGAAGTAGCGAAGAGCATTATGCTTCGTTCTGTGCTCCAGTATCTGCTCGCGACACAAGGCAAGCATTGCCTTGTTGTCGACATACAGAACCGGAGGAGAACGAGGCCGCTCCCCCAAGTCGATCAGCAGGTAGGTCAGCCAACGTAGTTCCAGTGCAGCCATGGCCCCAGCATAGATCTCGGCCTTACAGCTCGAACCAAGCACAGAAGAAGAACGAGTGGACCTTCACGAGACAGTGAAGGTTTAACCTTGTGACGAATGCTGAGTCGCCTGGTCGTCGGCCCAAGAAGCGTCTGAGTGTCTTGTGAGTACCACTGAACCCCATCCTCCAAGCACGAGCCCCATGCCCGATGTACTCCACAAGTAACGCAGTACCATCTTCGCAACATCCCAGTGCACTTTTTGGTGTCTACCGGGAGCCACGTAGCGAGCCAGGAGGCTGAGAGGGTACGCGAGGTCAGGTCATGTGCACGTCATCAGGTACATGAGGCAACCCACAAGCTCTGGGTACAAACCACTTGGCTCTACGGACTCGTTCGAAGGTGGAGCTAAGAGCGAGTGGCCGTTAGACAGAGAAGTGGGCTGTGGCGAGAAGAACTGGAAGTCGAAGTGCTGAAGGACATGGTGCACCATGTGTGACTGAGTCAAAGTGATGATGTGCCGTGCTCTGTCCCGAGTGATCTGCAAGCCAAGATAGCTCCGCAGCTCACCCAGGTAAGTGCAGGTGTGTCTCTCCTTCAGCTCCGCCTTAACTAGGGCTAGCGCCTACGTGTCAGCAGAAGCAAATACAAAGGCGTCGACGTACATGAGAACGTAGAACGGCGGCAGAGTAGTGTCGGTGCGTAGAAACAGCGATGGGTTAGCAGAGGAAGGAGCAAACCCAAGAGTCGCAAGTGTCGTCCTCAGT